AGGAGGATTTTATTTAGGGACGATTTTAAGTATAATTTTAATTGGAACACAGCTTCGAATATTTGGTTTTTAATTTGGTTTTAGAGGGGTTTTTATTTTTATTGATATGTGTATCTGTTTTAATATGCTGTGCACCGCCCTGAGTCCTGCGGGAGAAGGGCGGTATAGAAATTAAATTAATAATAATAATAATAATAATCTCCCTAAGAATTTTAGGAGTTGGCACATTCTAATGGCTCTCTGCCTACTCAGATTCTCCTAACCAACTTGTCCCGACTGAAGAAACTGCTGGGATGGGCAGCAAAAACGTCTCAAACCCACATGAGTCCAGTTGCCATGGACTGACTGGACAACTGAGAATCTTCATCGACATAAAATCAGAGCTGTTTTTGAAATGGATCTGGAATAATAATAAAAAGGCCATTTCACTCTTAGATTGGGACATTCTGCAAAATTTTGCTCTTGAAATATTTGGAAACAAAACATATTGGACACCTCCAGCACTATCTACGGTCTTTGCTGGAACCATCATGTGACTGGAAATGAAGAAGTCCCCCCCTCCTTCCATGGTAGCCACTGTACTCACAACATATTTTCAAAATGCCAAGGGTGCCCTCTGCCCCCCCCTTCCATCCAAAAATAGATTTCTGATTTACCCACCGGTTTATCCTTTACCTGGGTAGTTGCAATTGAACTTCTTCTGTGCTACTGATGTGTTGGACTTTTTGCTGCGTGATTTCGGTGGAGTGGTAACAAGAGTAGCTGTCCGAGGTTCACCGTTCTCACCAGACAGGTAAGTTTGGTAGCCATGCTCAAAAACAAACTCGGGCGCCGATACTGATAAAACATAAAAAAAAGCTTCATTTTAGGATCCCCAATGTTGAAAACCCTTTCCTCATATTGCTACCTAACTATACATGGATTGGTGGAAGAAAAAGCTTTCATGCACTCAGTGCAACCTTTGCTGACTTTCTACTGATCAGACATTTTCATGCTCATGTCTACATTCCTATACCTATAATTAGATCTATGTAAGTGTAGGAGATGACCAGGCTGAGCCCAAGGGTGTCGGTCAAATGCATCATCAGTCTGGAGTCCCGAACGAGATCTAAGTCCAGCCCCTCCCCCCGTTGACTCTTATCTGCCCCTAATTTGCGGACTGTAAATAGATCGAATTCTTGTATAGGCTGCTTGGAATAAATTTACAGTACTTTTGAATTCTATCTTGACTCCTTGTTTCTTGTGCCTGATAGTAAGGCATTAATGGCAGGAAAGAGACCAGGAGGTTGAGATATTTTCATTCCTGATTATTCGGTTGCCTATCCCGACCATGGGATGGGCAAAAAGGAAAATATAGAAGTTGACGAACATTCCTCTCCTTAACAATGGTAATTGGGACCAGGAACTTTGTCACTAAATGACACAGTTGTAAAGCATGATATCATGTAACTGTACTGATTTCTGATAGTAGTTCTGGCAATCCCATTTGATGTTGTTAGGCAACCCTTGAACAGTCTGTGATTGTTACCTGCGAGCTCCTGCTGGCTTTCCCACTGAATTTGTGAAGGTCGCAAATGTTGATAACCTGATCAGATCCTATGACATAAATGCAAGCTGGACAGAGTGCCAGAATTGTAATCATATGACCATAGGGACCCTGCAACAACTACAACTATGAAGGTGTGTCATAAAAACCTCATGTTCAGCACCACTGTAATTTCAAATGGTTACTGAATGGGTGGACGTTAAGCGAGGACTACTTATACCTGCCAAACTATTTCTACTTCTCCAGCTAGCCCAACACTCTCAAATTGGTCTTTGGGCTTCTTTTCCAATATGGAAATAATTTAATAATTTTTTCCCGAAGATTTTTTCGTATCCTTTCCTCCTGTCCCCAAGAATTGAACCTATAAATATCATACAAATGTTCTGAGCCACACACCCCATGCAGCTTCGCAAATCTTGCTGCTCATTAAGATGAGGGGCAGATTTCCTAAGTTTTCACCGAAAGTGACAGAAATTAAACCATCAAGCTTCTGTGTGATCCTTTGTGTTCAAAGAAATGAAGCTATCTGCTTCTTGGACATCGCTTCCCAAACTTTCTAGGCAAAATACCTGTGATGGTTTGTGTTTCTGATGTGATGGTCCTTGCAACGGTTTGTGCTTGTGAGGCTGGCACTGTTTCTTCAGCCACAAACTGCACTGTACTGGTAGCGCCAGTTGTTGTGCCAGACAGTTGACAGCCACTCCTTTTGTGACCAACAAAGGCATCAAGATTGTTGAATTGTTGTTTGCAGAGACCACAAATGTGGATATCTGGAGTGAGCTCCACAAGGACTGTGGTTCCACTAGGAACTGCCAAAATATACAAACCAAACAGTTAATGATTCTCAATAAAGTAATAACAGACATATTTTATATTCAGAAGCTGCTGAATGCATGATAGATGGGACTTTTTTTAAATGGACTTCCAAAAGATGCAGGGGTGTAGCCAGTAAGATCTTTATATTATCAGAGTGAGCTGTGAAGGAATGTAGAGCTAACTTTGAGAATAGAGAAGGAATGAGGGAGCCATTTATAGAACTTGCAGAAAAGTTTAGTCCCAAAAGAAGAAATCATACCAAAGCTCAAAATAACCCTGCCTTGATTTTGTCCAGTACAAACCAGAGATGCTGGGAAAGATTGAGGGCAATAGAAGAAGGGGACAGAGAATGAGGTGGCTGGATGGAGTCACTGAAGCAGTAGGCATGAGCTTAAATGAACTCCAGAAAATGGTAGAGGACAGGAAGGCCTGGAGGAACATTGTCCATAGGGTCGCGATGGGTTGGACACGACTTTGCAACTAACAACAACAACAAGGCAGTGTTTCAGAACCTTGGTGACTTTATGATGTAGATTTCATCTCCCAGAATTCCCTAGCCAGAATCTTACACTTGGCACATTGTACAAAAATATATTTAAATTAACATGTGTATCCCATGTTTTCTCACCTTTCTTAATTTGCTTATAAACGTTACACTTTGGTTCAGAATCTCAAGTTAATATAGAAATAGATCGACATTTATGCAACTGGTATGACTTGCAAATAGATATTAGGATAAAACTGCATAAAAACAAGGGCTGTAGCCCTTCAGATGTTGAATAATTCCTAGCATCCTTCACCACTGCCTCTCCTGGATGTGGTTGCTGAGATTAGTCCTTCAGCAACTTCTGGAGGTCTTCCCTTTCTTGTCCCTGATCTAAACTTTTGCTGCCAAAAAGAGAAGAGAGGATTATGCAAAATAACCAGCTTCCCACGCTTAAAAAAGCAGTATTTCCTAACTGGATGCCAATGATCATCCAAGGCCATATCATCTTGGGGATAAATGTCAACTGCAGTCCAAACTCTCCGGAGGGCACCCGACAAAAGCAAGGCGGCACGACAGTCATCAGGAAAAAAGACGCATCGCAATCGAAACGCAAAAGCTAAGCCTTCCGTGATGTGTAGCCGCGTTAGGAAGAGGCCTGCATTCTCTGCAAACCGAGCCGTCTTTGCCGGCTTGAAACGGGCAGCTAGCCGGGACTTGGGCAGCTTGCACGCTTGCATATCCGCGGCGACGTTTGCATTGCACTGGCTTCCTCCGTGCCCCTCCCCCACATCTTGCAAATAAGCGACCGCAGCAATATAAAGCCCAGAGGAAGCCCCTTCTCCGAACCGCTGGGCGGTTTTTCGCGCGCAGCCGTGCCACCCCGCGATGCGCCTTCTCGGATCCGCTCGCTGCTCTCTCTCTCTCCACCCAGGTTCCGGGGCCGCTGCTCAGCCAGATTCCCGGGCGGGCCGAACGCTCGCTTCTGCCGCTACTCAGGTTGCGGGGCCCGCCTGAGCCTTAGCACAACGCTGCTTTTCCAACTCTCCGGCCCGGGAGCGCGGATAAGCCGCGCGGCCACTTACATTGCACGGGACCGGAGAAGGAGTGAGTGCCCGCGGCGCTCGAGTTCATCTTGGCTTCCGCGGTGATGCACGGGCTGAAGCTGCCTACAAAAAAGAAACATGCAAACAAGCAAACAAAGGGGGCAAAAATAAAAAAGCCTCCTTGCTCCCCCCCCCGCAAGCCCTTAAGGCGGGGACGGATATGGGCCTGCCGAGCATGCTCCGTAGAAAAAGCTGAAGCCGACGGAGCTAGTCTTTCTGCCCACACCGCAAGCAAGCGTTCCTTTTTTTCCAGTTGTCTACGATTCTGGCGTGTTACTTAAGAGGAAGCCTGTTAGATTTGCACGAGACTTGCTTCCAAATAGGTTTGTATAGGCACGCGGTTCTTTCCGTGTTCCACATTTCTCCTCGTTTATGCACAGTGATTATTATATAGTTGTAAATCGCTCCCCATCCTGAAGCGGGTGACCACCCCCACCCCCCCACCCCCACAACAACAACAACAATAACAACAATAACAACAATAACAACAACAACAACAACAATAATAATAATAATAATAATAATAATAATAATAATAATAATAATAATAATAATAAAAAGTCGGAAGGTACCTTGGAGGCAGGAAACTCTATACCATTTCAGGCAAATGATTGTCCAGTGTCGTCTTAAAAGCTTCCAGTGTTGGAGCATTCACAACTTCTGGAGGCAGGTTGTTCCACTGATTAATTGCTCTAACTGTCAGGAAATTTCTCCTTAGTTCTAGATTGTTTCTCTCCTTGATTAGTTTCCATCCATTGCTTCTTGTCCTGCCTTCAGGTGCTTTGGAGAATAGCTTGACTCTCTCTTTGTGGCAACACCTGAGATATTGGAACACAGCTATCCTGTCACCTCTAGTCCTTCATTAAACTAGACATACCCAATTCCAGCAATCGTTCTTTATATGTTTTAGCTTCCAGTCCCCTGATCATCTTTGTTGCTCTTCTCTGCACTCTTTCTAGACTCTCAACATCTTTTTTACATCGTGGTGACCAAAACTGGATGCAGTATTCCAAGTGTGGCCTTACCAAGGCATTGTAAAGTGGTATTAACACTTCATGTGATCTTGATTATATCCCTCTATTAATGCAGCCTAGCACTGTGTTGATTTTTTTGGCAGTTGCAGCACACTGCTGGCTCATGTTTAAGTGATTGTCCACTAGGACTCCGAGATTCTTCTCACAGTTACTACTGTTGAACAAGGTACCACCTATATTGTACCTGTGCATTTGGTTTTTCTTGCCTAAATGTAGAACCTTACTTTTTTCCACCATTGAATTTCATTTTGTTAGATAGTGCCCAATGTTCAAGTCTGTCAAGATCCTTCTGTATCTTAAGCCTATCTTCTGGAGTGTGAGCAATTCCTGCCAGCTTGGTGTCATCTGCAAATTTGATCCCCATCTATCCCTTCATCCAAATCATTGATGAAGATGTTGAAGAGCACTGGGCCCAGAACAGAACCTGGGGGGGGGCACCCGATTGCACACGTCCCTTCATGTAGATGCAGTTTCATTGAGGACCACACACTGAGTAGGCTGGTCAGCCAGCTACAAATCCATCTGGTGGTGATGCTGTCTACATTTTTCTATCTTATCAAGTAGTAGGTTGTGGTTTACTTTATCAAATGCCTTAATGAAGTCCAAGTAAATTACATCCACAGAATTCCTGTGGTCATCTGGTCAAAGAATGCAATAAGATTTGTCTGGCATGATCTGTTTTTGACAAATCCATGTTGGCTTTTGGTAATGACTTTATTTGCCTCTAGGTGTTTGCTGATTTGTTGCTTGGTTATCTTTTCCAGAATCTTCCCAGGTACATCTGCTGGATTATAAAGAGCAAGGCAATTTGACAGGAAATCTAGTTGCTTAGAGACTGGTATGCCTGGAGCAAAACCTTGAATAAGGTGCCAGTACAGTTGTTTCTGTTAGAGTGTACAGTGTAAATCAGGATCCCAGTCTGTTCTGCAATGGCAGCCACTTATGATCCAAATACAGGATTAGCACAACTTAAAGTGCATTCAATAGTGTCTGCAGGGGAGTTAAGGGGGGACAATGATAAAAGCAGTCTCTTGCCATCACCAGTCAATACCTGCCATTTTTAGAGTTGTGTTGTGATGCACACCTACCTAAATCTTACAGCATGGCAACATAATGCTGCTTTTTTATTTTGATAAAAAACCAACCCCTGCAGATATCCATGAATTCTATTTCTTTATTTGTATTTATTTTGTTAAACTTTTATACTGCTCTGGGCAGTTCATAATCAAAACAAATTACAGTAAAATCCAATTGCAGCAATAGGAAGGAAAAAAAATCATGGCAAGAATGACAAATCAAATGAGGCAAGGCAGTCTCACTCTAACCTTGTAAAAAGATATATGTAAAAAGGTATTTTAACATATGGAGATGTAACTAAAGATGCCATGATTTTACTAGTTTTTTTTTTAAGCAACTTTTTTTTGTATAGTTGAACACTTTGGAAATTGTGCTTAAAGCTTACTTATCCATTTTTTTCCTTTTTCTCCCTCAAAAATTGAATGGCTGATATGGGTTTTCCATATATTTTAAGTGAATGAAATGGCATCCAGATTGCCTCTTAATTCCATTTTAAAAAAGTCGACGCCAATATTTTAGCCTTCCTATGCACAAAACCCTTTTCATTTCAGGACTGCTTTGGGCCTTGCAAAAGGCATTCTGAGAAATCACTTGCAACCCATGGATTATATGTGGCTCATCCCTGTGCCAAACCTTAATAGATTCAGTTTGATTTGGCTTCCTACCATGGATGAATTTAGCCATTGTGGTCTGTTACTATGGTTCAGATATGGTTTAGGGCAGGGGTAGGCAATCTTGACTTTTTTATGACTCGTGGACTTCAACTCCCAGCATGGCTGGCTCAGGAATTCTGGGAGTTGAAGTCCACAAGTCGTAAAAGAGCCAAGGTTGCCTACCCCTGGTTTAGGGGGTCAGGCAACCAGTGGCTGCAGAATTGACCTGTGCCTTGATTGATAGAAGAAAAATACTAAAATGCTGTAATTCTAAAAGGAAATTAATTTAATTGGGGTTGCCTTAAGGTTGTAATGCATGGTGGCACAGCACTAGACAACCTTCACTAATCCAGCTGGATTGAACTCAATGGTAGTTGCTGGCCTCCTCTCCACTCTGAGATTCAGACTCCTCTCCACTCTGAGATTCAGACTGTTTTGGCCTTCTGGGATGCTTTTCTTCCAGGCCTCTGAGCGAGGGTATACAAGAACCTAATACACGCATGTTTTTGTGTTGAGAATTAGTTATGTGTGTCTTGGCTATTGTATTATGAGAATTTTAATTGTATTTTTTCTTCTGTTTATTGGACTTTTATCAGACATTTTTTGTTTGTGTCCATAGACTGTTAGCTCTTCAGAGTTATTTAAAATGGGCAGCAATGTAAAATTTCTAAATGAATTTATCGATTCATTCAATTTATATTCAAATACTTCAATGAGAGGCAAGTAGAATTTTTACCAAATCGCTGTTTCTGTGAAGTCACCAGGAATCAAGCTCACCTTGAGAAGGAGGAAGAAGATGGAAGTTAAATTTAAATTTAACAATTTCGATAACAGCTAATATGGAATAACGCCTAGTAGTTAAAATAATAAAGAATCTGAAATGTGGAAATGAAGGAAATCAACTGACAATTAAAATAACTAAAAAGATTCTAGAAAACAGTCCTCAGTAATTCGTAATTATATTGATGAATAATGACAAATACCATAAACAAATGCATTGTGCATAAAATTAATTATGTTAAAAGAATAGCTAATCTGTCTCTGTGTTGATAACATATAATTATGAAGATGCTTTCTTGCATGTTTTTAAATAATGTCATTTGAATTCATAATTCAGAGTAGGTATTTTGACATTTAATACATGTTGCAATTTATACATTTTTTTAATATAATTGCACTGTGCCACATTAAAAGAATCACAGCTTACTCAGAGATATTTCCTACCAGCACATAACAGTAAAATAATGGTATGGAAACCAATTCTTTAACACTACAAATTGACAACAAGGAATCACCCTCCCACAAAATCATTTTTCTTTATAGGTTGCTCTTTCTATTACGCTAATTAACTTTCATACAAAATTTGTGGGACATTTTTCAAAGATCTCAGAACAAGTACCAGCAATATTTATTTATTGTTGTACTCTGTATGCCCCCATTTTCCTTCCAAGATATGCAAAGTTTCCTCTATTTTACTTTTTATTTCCTATGGAATAGCTTTTACTGAAAGATCATGATTGGCCTAACATCAGCTACCCATGTTGAGTAGAATTCAAACCTGAATATTCTCACATAGGTCTTGTTTCTTTTTTATCTGCTATTAGCAATAAAATCTCATGTCCAAGAAGGTGTTACCTGGTCCAGATAAATTCAAACTTTTATTCATCCATGACTCACATACATGAATATTAATTAATGCAGTTATGTGAATATTGCATAGATATATTATGTAGAATATGTTAGAGGCAGTCAAAATAAATGGCCAGCACTCTCTGATGGGTAAAAAGAAAACAAGAGCCCTTCATATTTCTCCAGCTAGGTGATATCATCTAAAAATTCTTGACCTTGAAAAATTAAGCAGGATAAAACCTGGTTAATCTTTGAATGAAATTACAGAGCTATAACCTCGACTGAGAAGTTGATAAAGTATACTAGAAAGCAGCCGTAAAAATAAAGAAACTTCCACATTACTTCCAAGAAAGTTACATGGGTGTATCTTTGAAGTTCTTCAAGAGTCAAATTCAATTTGAAAGAGAACTTATCTGTCATTTTAATTAGCACATGACATACTGGTCAGCAGAAAATAAGGATTGCACAAGGAGTATAAACAGACTTGTCATATAGGAGATCAGTTCTCCATGGACTTTCGTTTAGTGACTTATATCTCAGTCTTCCCAATCTGTCACTTTCTAGTTATCTTTCACTACAACTCCCAGAATGCCAAACTAAGATAATCATATGGGGAATTGTTGTTGAACACAACT